GAAAAGACTAAGCCAAAGAGAGTACCAGCCCTGGTTCTCCAGTCAGTGTTAAATCCTGTCTTGAACAAAAAAATATTACCTACCTTCCTTGCTAAGACTTTGTTCCTGTTTATGTTTGGGTATCTTATCTATTTACTTGTAGATAGTAGCTTTTACGTGTTCTCCTTCAGTTATGACAGCTATTTTCAAAGCTTCATTGATCCACTGGCTTCTCTCTTTTTTTTTTTTTTTTAATTTATCTATTTTAAGAGAGACAGAGACAGAGTAAGCATGAGTGGAGGAGGGCAGAGAGAGAGAAAGGGAGAGAATCCCAAGCTCAACGAACTGAGTCGCCCAGGCACCCTGAGCCATTGGTTTCTGAAAGTCTGTTCACATCCCTTCAACTGTAAATTTCTCAAGTCTGGAGGGCTTGTTTCTTTCTCTCCCACTGTGCCTCCACAGTGCCTCAGTACCTATTTGTGAAATAAATGAATAAACAAACTGAGAGAATGATTTAGCCTCAGAAATATACATAAAGGGGCACCTGGGTGGCTCAGTCAGTTAAGCACCCGACTCTGGCTCAGGTCATGATCTCACGGTTTGTGAGATTGAGCCCCGCATTGGGCTCCACGCTGACATCTCAGAGCCTGCCTGGGATTCTCTCTCTCCCCTCCCTTTCTGCCCATCCCCTGAGCACATGTGTGCTCTCTTTCTCTGTCAAAATAAATAAACGTTAAAAAAAAAGGAATATTTTATATATATATATATATGTATATACACATTTTTCTCCCTTTTCAATCTGATAAGAACTAGAAAAAAAACTAGTAATAAAAAACTTTGCCACCAGTTCTTACCAAACACTCAGGAGACATTCTGAATAGTCAAGGCTGCTTATCCAAGGGGAAAATAGTCTGTAAATGCCTAAATTGCAAGCAGTGGTTCTCAACTCTGCCTGCATATCAGAAACAGCTAGGAAGCTTTAAAAAAAATTTTTTTTTAATGTTTATTTATTTCTGAGAGACAGAGAGACAGATTGAGAGCGGGGAGAGGGGCAGAGAGAGGGAGACACAGAATCTGAAGCAGGCATTGTCAGCATGGAGCCCAATGGAGGCTCCATGGAGCCACCCAGGTGCCCCTTTAGTAAGCTTTTAAAACTACCTATGCCTGCACAAGAAATTCTGATTTAATTGTTCTGAGAGGGGACCCGGGCTTCACCTTTTTTTTTTTTTTTTTTTTTAAAGCTCCTCAGGGGATTCTAATGTGCTGCCATCATGGCAAACCACTGGGTAACACAATATCACCTTTTCCCAGGAATCGAATAAAATGACATAGATTGTTCAGAAGGGTGAGAAAGTCCTTGGCCCTCAGAGTGGAGACAGAAGGCACAAATGGAGGCAGAAGACAGCTTTTCCAATAACCTTCTCTTTCTGGTCCCTTGACTGCTAGCCCCAGCATTTCCAAGTCCTGTGGGAAGACCAGGGGCACTTGGCTCACAATGAAATAAGAAATGCTCAGGGTGCCTGGGTGGTTCAGTTGGTTGAGCGTCCGACTTCGGCTCAGGTCGTGATCTCGCAGTCCGTGAGTTCGAGCCCCGCGTTGGGCTCTGTGCTGACGGCTTAGAGCCTGGAGCCTGTTTCAGATTCTGTGTCTCCCTCTCTCTGACCCTCCCCTGTTCATGCTCTGTCTCTCTCTGTCTCAAAAATAAATAAACATTAAAAAAAAATTTTTTTTAAATGCTCTTGGATGCACTCTGGCCTCACACGGCTTCACCCACAGCCTCCCAACCACAGGTGACAATATGATGTGGTTTTCGTTGGGATTCTCTCAATTCAGTTGTCAAAAAGAAGACAAAGAAAACTACTACTTTCAGCATACCAGTGAAGAAGAGATGCTCTTCTCCCTCTATTCCAGATGGGAAGATAAAGTTATCTGGTTCCTAAGGAAGAGCTGAGGGTTGGGGTGGTGGTCACTGTTCCGGCCACGTTGGTCAGGAGCAACTTTGTGCTGTTCTTGAGTGTTCTTACCAGACTGGAGAAAAGTCCTCAAAGAAGTGAAAGGGGGAAAACGGCCCTTCACATCGGGCCTGTGTGCCTCTGGGGATGATCAACAGCAGGGTCTGAACTGTGGAAACTACACACACACACACACACACACACACACACACACACACACACACACACATTTCTATAAGAAAGGGTTTCTGGTTTTCATCAGCTTCCTAAAGATTAAGGATGACACTTGGCCCTGGGCAGCTTCTGCTCTGAGCTGAACACCTATTTGTCACCCACACATCCTGCCCTGGCAGATTTGCCCAGCTGAAGGTAGCAGGGCTGGGCCACGGCAAATCACTGAAGTGGATGACATTCATGATCTGTGTTCAGCCTCAGGGTTGTAGCTTCCCCACATTCGGATGGCCTGAGCACAGCTTATTATCACCAGCTCTGTCCACCATCCCAGCTTAGGGCTTTCCCTCCCTGTCCAAGCGCAAGGGCTCTCTTGGCTTCCCTACATCTCGGTCCTTCTCTTCTGCTCCTGTGCTCCCAGACCTGAAAGCATTTCTCTTTATCTCTACACAGGACCATCACCTTACCCTTGACTCCGAAGCTCAGTAATCATGATGTCAATCTTGTGAGGCCCTCCCTAGCCTTCTGGTTTCTAGTTACCATGCTGACTTGTCACCTGGATTCTGGGGTTGAACTTCCAAGGTGGTGGGCAAAGGGGCAGTGCCCAGGTCAGCTTTCCTCCCTGGGAGCAGAGTCCAGGCCTTGTCTATTAACTAATACATGTTTCAGAAAGTCCATGAGGAAAACATATTGTTTTAGGAAAAAAAAAACATTAGCACTGTGCTTACTGATACTACACTACAGTCAAATTAAAAGAGGACTACATAACTAGTTTTCACATGTAGCAAAAAAGAAATCCTAATTACTCTCATTTATATAAGCTGTTTATTATGCATGCCTAAACCTCATGTGGCACAAGAATGGTGTCTGGATCATTAAGTGGGTCAGTTTCCTTTTGTTTTAAAGCTAAACTCTATTCAGTATGTCAGACTTGAAAGTTTGCTGATCCTGTGACAGGATCTTGCCTGTGCAGTCTTTCAATTTGGGAAACAAAATCATTAGAGGAGAATGTTGGCCTGGATAAGGAAGCTAGGGAGGGAAGAGGAGCCTGGTAGGCCAAGCCTCTCTGCATCCTTCATGATTTATACTGTATGACCTTATGCAGGTCAATTTACCTGTCTGGGCTTCCTTGCCTCCTCCCCAAGGCTGGGATTATTAGGCACTGGTTTTCTTTTTTTTTTCCTCTGAGCAGTAGCTCCCTTCCTTCTTTTCCAAATGCAACCTATATAGAAGCCCAAAATACAAAGCAGGTGAAAGAAGAGCTGTCAAAGGCAGCCTTTGAGGTGTCTTCACAGAATGCTGACATTCCTGGCTCATCCTACAATCTATGACATCATAAGAATGGGGCAGGAATGGCAAGCACCCCATGCTTGGAGGGGGTCCCAGAAAAACACCCACAGGGTGGAAGGGGGCATCCCGAACGTTTGTAGTGAACCTCAAGTTCCTCACAAACACAGGGGGAGGGAAATATTTCCTTCTGAACTTTCGAGGGTAGTGGTTAAGATGCACATGTGGAGTTCTTTCGCATTCAAAATAATTCAGTCCAAGCAATTTTATATCAAATCGCCCTCTCCCCGATTACTGGAGAGGATTAAATGAGTTGACTGTTATGCCTTGATTTCAAAAGAGGCAGTTTTGAAACCTGTGGTACCCCAAGCTCTATGATACTAAGCCATTTGTCCTAATGACACAGCAGACTCTGAACTCCAGAATACCACAGGAATATCACACCACTGCAAATTACTAGGTGGTGCTGAGTCTCAAAAAAACGTAATTGAAACAAAATCTTTGCACTGTTTTTGAGATGCACATTTGATATGAGCTAATCAAATCATTTTTGAGATTATTTTCCTGGAGGCAGAATTATTCTGCACAGTTAAACAGCCCTCCAGTCTCCTCCTTTGTTATAGCTAGCTGTGTGTAAATACGAGGCCTATATAGTGGTCTAATTTCTTTCCGCACTTAACTTTCTAAAGACAAGGCCTTTTTGTCATGGGTATGCACGGGGTCAGTCAACCTTACAAAAGGAGTCATTTACTGCTCAATTTCCCCAGCCTTCCTATGATTAAAAACTTCTAACTTCAAATGCTATTATTGTATTCTAAATTGTTTTCTTTCCCTCTCCCCCAACAAATGTTTAAACTGTCTCTACTCTAGAGGATTCCCTTTTTTACCCAATGTGGCCTTGAAAACAGAGACGCTCTCCTTTTCTTTTACATACCCTACAGTATTTTAAGATCCAGGCCTTCTGACCTTTTTACAGCACTCTTCTTGTCTGACACACCAAATGCTAATCTGAAAGCCTAGAGGAGGTAAAGGGTCTGGGGGGTTGGGAAGGGGAGGGAGGGAGGTACTATATATTTGGCATCCGTTCAGAAATTCAGAAAATGTTTGTGCAACCACTCCCCCAGCCAGGATCCACCGCACCCCCTGCCTTCCAGCACATTAATAAAAAAAGATGTGAGCGGATGAAATTGGAGAGCCCGGGAGGGACACCCAAGGCGGTCGTAATTATGTACCCGGAGAAGCCCACTGATCATCATCATCCCACAGGTCCTGCCCGAATCCCTCGCCTCCGACATCCAAAATCCTCGTTCAGGATCTCTGGAGCTCCCACCCCCAGCCCGCAGAGGTAGCCGGTTAAACTTGCAGCAGCACCGCCCAATAACGGCTTGTGTGCGACAAACGGAAAGACCCACACAGCCTCTGCACGTCGAGGTGGCAGCGCTGTGCACCTTAGGAATCATAACTGTTCTTTAAAAAGAAAAAAAGTACATTGAGCCCACAGGCCTGGAATACATTAACTTGCGAACGGAATCTAACACGCTCCAGAAAAGTCCATCTCACTCTCAAACAAAAAGAAAAGGAGGGGTGGGGGGAAAGGCAAAGGCACTTTACCATCCTGTCCTGAGCTTTCCAGATACTCGGTCAGGTCACAGCCAAAGGCACTGGCGGCTCCCTTTCGTTTCAGCTTCTGCTTGGCACCCTTGTTCTTCATGAGTTAGTCCCAAAGAGGTTGCCCCTCCGTCTCTCCCTCCCCTGTGCTTGGCACCGCGCCTAGGATGGTCTCCGGGGTCAGATCACTGGCTGCGGCGCGGCTCCGGGGGCCCGCATGGGCGCGCGGAGGAAGTGCGGCCCGGGGCAGCGCGCATGGACCCCGCGGGGCGCTGAGACCCGCGCGGCCGCGGAGCCTGCAGTCCACGGCGCGCTCCTCCAGGGCCGCGGTGCCGGAGGCCGGGCGGAGCTGGCGGCCGCGGGCCGGCTGGCGGGAGTGTCACTTCCTCACTTGGAGTCCCAGGGACTTTTCACGGGCTCCTGCGGGATCTCCGAGCGTCTTCCCCCGCTCCAGAGGGAGGGCTAGCTCTCTCCTTTCGGCTTTTGCAGAGACGCCCCGGAGAGGACGAGAGCGCGGGAAGCGGGCAGCAGCCAGGGGCGAGGAGACAGCCCCGGGGCTGCGTGGCTCCTCTGCCCAGCGCCCGCTGTCTTGCCTTCAGACGGCGTTGGGAACGCGAAAAACAAGCATCCTGTCTCTCTCGCCCGCCCTCACGCCTTCCTTTTTTTCCTGTCTTACAAATCCTAGGATCATCCAGCTCAGGAAATGCTGGAAGGAAGTTAGCTAGGGAGGGGGGCGGAGGGTGGAAATTTTTGGCAGCTCAGTGCTGCGTGTGTATGGGGCCGGAGGAAGTAGGTGGGTGGGTTGAGGAGTACGGGGCGGAGGGCGGGTAGGACGCGCTCTTGGGAGAGCCGGTCTGCGGCTCTGGAGATAACTCGGCAGCTCGGGAGGAAACCGCCGCGCTCCCAGGAGGACCCGCAGCCCCAGCCGCCCGCTTCCTGCCCCACCGCGGCCCTTGGAGGAGGGTAGGAGGAGGCGCGCTAGCCTTCGGGACGGACGGTGCTAGGTGGGACCGAAAAAAAGTCCGGCCTCCTTTTCATCCTCCTTGTCATCATCTCGTTGACACTTTCTATTTCGGTGCCTGCCTAATCCTACACAAACCCTTCAAGAGTAATGACAGAGACAAAGACAGGGATTCCAGCAGAGAAACCTGACCTGCCCGGGAGCGGTTTTCCGCCGGCCACTCCCATCCTCCTCTCCCGCGCCCAGGTACCCCCAACCCAGTTAGCTCCCCTCCCACGCTGACGGAAGACTAGAAGCTGCCGCCTTGTAACCACTGTCCAGGAAATCAGATTTCTGGTTACAGATTCATGCACACGCACACACACACACACACACACACACACACACACACACATCACGTCACGTCACACGCATTATTGCAAGTTTACTACAATGGAAGTGATTTGCGGGGTACCCCGGATTTAAGGTGACTGATACTCCAGCATAATGTGGAGAAAGGAGTCTCCCAGGCGGTTCCATAATTTGTCCTCAAGCTTTCAGGAGGGCATGTTCTTTTCTTCTCCAGTTAGATCTGAAATTCCTTGACTTCTGTGTATTCAGCACACAGTAAGCACTCAAATCCTTGTGATTTAACCATTGGAAGATTAGATTAAACTTCCTGTACAAATTCAAATCCATATATAGACGTGAAGGGGAGGGACATTCATACAGCTCAGATTGCTGACAGAAGCTTTAAGTATAGTATTTTACTTACTGAATCCCTTTATAGTCACTTATACACGGTCTCCCTGTGTATTCTGGTGACACTGAATCTGACCTTTCACCTTTTCTCTTTGACAGAGGTCACAAGTGATAGCCTGTCTTGCAAATCTGGCCCACAGAGGTGTTTGGTTTCACACACACAATCCTTTAAAATTTTTTCAAATCAATTGCTAACTTTAAAGGGTTAAGAGATTTCACTTAAGAGATGTGAGTTTCTGGCTTCTCTTGCACATGAGATGCAGATCTGATAACACCAAAAGTGCACTCCCACATGGCAAGGACTGCTGATGCCCAGTTGTGACAGCCCCCACTGCCTGTCTTCCCACCTTGTACCTGCCTGACCTCCAGAGCTCCTAACCCAAGCTCTGAGTATGGTGGCTCCTTCCTTCCATTTTCCATCTGTCTCTCAGCGACACCAGCATTGCCCTGTCATCTTGGCTAGACATCTTCAAGTAACAACTGACTCATTTCTTTCCTTCCACCCCCACCTCCAGGCTAGTCCTGCCCAGACCGATGAGTCCTTCAAAAGGCCTCTCCTCTGGTTTTCTTCTTTTCCACGCCCATTCAGTGAGGATCGGTGACTCCTCAGAATAACTCCTAGTGGGATTTGCTGAGTTCGATCTCTGCCCACTTCATACATCCTATGTACTAAAGACTTGATGAACCTTCCTGAAGTATTGTTCTTGTTACATTCCTGCTTTGTTCAAAACCGGTCAAGGACTCCCTGTTTTCTAGTGCCAGGACAGTGGTTTCTAAGCATTTTGTAAGCTATTTGAAGAATATTCAGTAGGATATTTAGTGTAATGGCTTATTCCTCCCTTTATCTATAGAGAAGCATTTCCATACAAGACTGTAATTATTACTATTAACATTTGTTTAGGAGTTTACTTTAGCAAGGACTTTCATATTCTTTTATTTCATCTGACCTATAGTAGATTTCATCACTTGGGTAGCCAAGGAAAGAGGCCAAAGGGGTGCTTTTCTCCTGGGTGCAGGCCCCCAGGACACAAAATATGGATAAATTGTCAAGTTCTTGAATTGCTTCTTTAAATCTTTAAAAACATTCTTTTAACTTTTCATTTTGAAGTAATTTCAGCTTATAAAAATTTTGCAAATAATAGTCAAAGAATTCCCATTTACCCTTCACCCAGCTTTCCCTAATATTAATGTCTGCTATAATCAGAATACAGTTATCAAAATTCAAAATTAGGAAAGGTATATTATACAATAATATTTTATTTATACAATAATATTAACTAATATTAACTATATTAATATAATAATTTTAATATATAATATATTATGTAATATATCATATATTTAACTATATTAACTATATTAAACTAATATTAACTATATTAATATATTTATATATAAATATATAACACTAAAATTAACTATATAAAACTAATATTAACCATATTAAATAATATTAGTTAATATTATTGTAATAATAACATTAACTAATCAACAGCCCTTACTCAAATATCAATTAACTTTAATGACCTACAATATTTATTAAGTAGGGTCTTTCTCACAATAAAGCCCACCAGTAATTTACAAATGATTCACATACACTTTACAGAATAACATTAGCTATGTACCAGGTCCTCTTAATCACCATCAGATGCAGAAGTGTAGGTTATCACAAAACAGAACTGCCTAGGTAAAACAGTAAAGCTAGTGACCTCCACACAGCCCTAAGATTCCCCAGAGGGACTCCACAATGTGTCATGATAAGTCACGATAAGTTGGGTTCACATTGTTTATAGAGTTCAGGGTTGAGATGATATGAACACTGGGCGAGGTGTCCATTATGCCTGGCTGACTGAACATTTGATATATATGCATGGTGGCTCTTTGTCTTTATTTGATAACTCTCAATTATCTACACCTTATGGTTGGAAAAACTCACAATTTACCAAGCCAGATAATGAACCACATAATGACAGCAAGACTCAAGAAGCTGGAAAGCTGTCCTCCTCCCCATTTGCTCCCTGACCCCTCTCATTGCTGAGTGTGCCCTGTGATAGATGCCAAACTTGAATCTAGCCCTTCTTCTGGACACTCTATTTTTCTTTCTCTTTCCTTCCTCTGCTCACCTCTTCCTCTTCCCGTATTTCTTTCTAGTTGCTTACTCTAAGATGTGTACCTTTTCCTGAGTCTATGGAAGAAAATCAGATTTGGGTTTCAAAGGGTTTTTCCGTTGGACTTTGGATTTCCTAGAAAGCAAGATTATATGGAGATTGTGTAGGAATGTGAACAGCCTAATAATTAAGCTGTTTGGTGATAATATAAATTATCCCTTCAACAGATTATGATAGAACAAAAAGCACTTCACTCACATGGAGCTACCACCATAGAGTTTTGTCATGGCTTAGGATTTATCTGCAACTAAGACTGATGCCTATCCAAGTGTGCCATCTGCTTCCTTCACTCACCAATGATGGTAGTAGTCTTCTCTGCCATAAATAAATAGATGCAGAAGACAGAGGATGGGTATTGGGAGCTAGCCTTTCTCTTACTTGCCCATAAAACTAGACTTATCAATCAGCAATTTTAGAGTTCTCCCTCCTGTGCTAGTGCCCAGCCACTTAAATACTCATAAATGATCCCTTGTCCATGGACATGATTAACAGGTTCTGAATTCTCTGTTCTGGGGTGGAGAATGTCAGTTTATCCTCTTCCTGGGTACATTTCCTCTTCTTCCTTCTCCCCTGTTCCCAGCTTAAAAATGTTGGTCTTGTCACTGGTTGTTGGGTGTTATTAACCGAATTGTGCCTCCCCTGCCAAATTCATATATTAAAGCCCTAACCCCCCCGTACTTCAGAACCTGACTGTATTTGGAGATAAGGCCTTGAAAGTTAAAACAAAGCTTTTAGAGCGGGTCTTAATCCAACTTGACTGGTATCCTTGTGAGAGGAGGAGATGAAGACACAGAGAGACACCAAGGATGTGTCCCACAGAGAAAAGACCAGGTGAGGACACTATGAGAGGGTGGCCACTTACAAGGCAAGGAGAGAAACCTCAGGAGAAAGCAAAACTGTGACACCTTGATCTCAGACTGCCAGCCTCCAAAACTTGTGAGAAAATAAACGTCTGTTGTTTAAGCTGCCTTGTCTATGGTATTCTGTGATGGCAGCCTTAGCAGACTAATATATTGGGTGAGACTCTTCTATGAGAGAGGGCTTGTGCCCACCCTGGGCCCAGATGCCAGTGCCCTGAAGGTCTGAAGCTAGTGGAGGATGAAGATGCCACAACAAAAGGGCTTCTAGAAAAAATGGGCTTCTAGCTCTATTACTGCATTTCTCTGTGCCATGTGTTCCCAGATCTAGGTTATGCTGTAAATTGTTGTTTCTAGGTGTTCAAATGAGGAACAA